TGCTGGTCAGTGCTGGGGAGACTGTTCTCTTGACATTGGTAACTTCAGATGCCAAAAATGCCTCATATCTGCTAACAAATTCTGCCTGGTTCCCTAATAAATTTACATTCTCTCTTTTTGAAAAAAAAATGGCTATTATTTCTTCAAACTTCTAAAGTTAATCTGTCTCAACTGATGACTTCAAATCTCTCACTTCTTAAAGAGAAAATTGATGCTCTTGATAAAAAGCCACCTCTGTTTCCCCAAGATACTTGCAATGGGAGCCACCCTTTCTGCCTTAGTGAAATGTCAGGAGAAGACCACACTTCTTCCAAGGTGAAGCCCTTGCCTGAGCCCTGGATCTCATCTACTTTTGCCTTCCCATATAATTTATTCAATTTTTCTCTTTCTCTCTGTCTTTAAGATTAACTTTGTCTAAGATCCTTGCTAAGATTACCTTTCTCTAAGATTACTGCCATTGGAATAAAACATGCTTTAACCATCTTTCTCTCATCTTCAACAAAATGTTTACAAAGGAGTAAAAGTTATACAAAATATATTCTCTAGTCACGGTGGAATTAAATTAGAAATCCACAGAGTACCTGGCAATTCAATTTAGAAACTGTATTTGAAAACAAAAGAATTTACTTGTATGTAACCTTGAGTCAAAGGAGATATCAAAATAATTTGATCAAATAATTTGAGCTGAAGTTGAAAATCCAACGTATTTTGTTTGTGAAGTGGCATTAAAGTAGTTTTTTGTTAGGTGCTGTTGAGGTGAGTACAACTCAGCAACCCTATAAACAAAAGATCTGACCCTTGTTCTTACCTTAGGCCATCCTCACATTTCTTGACACACAAGAGCCCATTGCAGCAGTCACCTTATCAGTCCATCTGGTTGAGGGTCTTCCTCTCCTTTGCCAACCCTCCACCCTTCCCAACATCACATCCCTCTCCAAGAAATAGTCCCTTGTAGCAACATGCTTGAAGTATGTGAGATGAAGCCTCATAATTCTTGCCTCCAAAGAGCACTCTGTCTGCACCCTCTCCAAGACATTTGTTTGTTCTCTTGACCATCCCTGGAATGTTCAGGACTCATCTCTAACACCAAAGCTCAAAGACATCAATTCTTCTTCTGTCATCCTAATTCACTGTTCAGCTCTGAGCTGGATAGCAATTGATCAGAAAGACTATAGTCTGAATCGGATACATCTTAGTCCTCAAACTGACATCATTACAGCAACAATCCTAACTGCAGACTTTCCCAGTGCAATACATCTCCTTGTTTCCTGACTGCTGGTACCAAGAGTGTTAATTGTGGATCCAAGCAAGATGAAGTTGTTGACGGTTTCAATCTCTTCTCCATCCATCATGATGTTGCCCATCTGTGTAGTGGTAAGAATCTTTGTTTTCTTGAAATTGAGATATAATCCATACTGAAGGCTGCATTCCTTGATCTTCTGCAACAAGTGCTTCAAGTCCTCCTCACTTTCAGAAAGCAAGGTTGTATCATCTGCATAATGCAGATTGTTGATTAGTCTCCCTTCAATCCTGATGCCACATTCCTCTTCATAGAATTCAGCTTCTCAAATAATTTGCTAAGCATACAGATCAAATAGGTATGGAGGGAGAATACAACCCTGATGAACTCCCTTTTTAATTTTAAACCATGTAGTTGTTTCCTTGCTCTGTTCACACAAAAGCCTCCTGGTCCAGATATAGGTTTCGCATGAGCACAATTCAATTAAATGCTCTGGGAACCCCATTCTTCTCAATGTCAGCCACAACTTGTTATGATCCACACAGTCAACTGCCTTTTATTTTTTTTTTTGGGGGGGGGGCTGGTGGTACAGGTGTTCATAGCAGCTTTAATTCGCAATGGCCCAATGCAGGAAGCAAGCAAAAGGCCCTTCAGTGAGCAAATGGACACACTAAATGGTGACACATCCATACAATGGACGTAAGTCAGCAATGAAGACAATGAGCTCTCAAGACACCAAAAAGCATGGGAGAAACTATATACACATTGGTAAGTGAAAGAAGGTAGTCTGAATGGCTGTATACCATATGAGCCCAGCTCTCGGATCCTTCTGGAAAAGGCAAAGCTTCAGAGAAAATAAAAAGATCACTGGATGGCAGGGGTTGGTGTAGACAAGAGGGTGCATGGAGCACAGGACATTTTTAGGCAGTGAGTCTCTTCCATGTGCTACTGCAATGGTGGATACCTAATGCAAATGCCTTTTCATAGTTAATAAAGCACAAATAAACATTCTTCGGGTATTCTTTACTTTCAGCCAGGATCCGTTTGATAACAGCAATGATGTCCCTGTTTCCACCGCCTCCTCTAAATCCTGCATGAACTTTTGGCAGTTCTTTATCTATGTACTCTTTTCGCTGTACTTAGAGCTAATTTGGAGTGCTTAATGCCTGTGTTAGACAAGAAGGACTCAAATCAATGACCTCAGCTTCCATAGTAAGAAAAATAAAGAGCAAATGAAACCCAACATAAGCAGAAGAAAGAAACAATGATCATAATGGAAATCAATACAATCAGACAAAAAAAATCCACTAAATCAAAAGCTGCTACCTTTCTATAATCAATGTTATTGTTGTTGTTATGTGCCGTCGAGTCGCTTGCGATTCATAGCGACCCTATGTACAACAGCCCTAAACTCTGCTCTGTCCTGTGCCAATTGCACTGTCTCTGACACTCCCATCCCGATTATCCCAGTCACTGAATCAATCCACCTCATAGAGGGCCTTCCCCTCCTGTGCTGTTCCTCCACCCTCCCAAGCATGATGTCCTTCTCCAAGGATGGGTCTCTCCTCACAACATGTCCAAAGAATGTTAGACGGAGCCTCAGAATCCTTGCCTCCAAGGAGCCACCCGGTTTAACCCTTTCTAGGACAAATCTGTTTTCCTAGCAGTCCATGGTATTCTCAATACTCTTCTCCAGCACCACAGCTTCAAAGGCATCAATTCTCCTTCTATCCTCCTTGGTCATTGTCCAACTCTCTGATGCATAACAAGTGATTAAGAAGACCATGTCCTGTATCAAACGCACCTTAGTCTCCAGGGAAACACCATTGTTCTTCAATACTCTGGAGAGGTCCCTAACAGCAGACTTTTCCATGGCAATGCGCCTTTTAATTTCCTGGCTACTGGTGCCAAGAGTGTTGACTGTGGAGCCAAGCAAACTAAAGCCGTGTACAATCTCAATCTCTTCACCATCCATCCTGATGCTGCCAATTGGTCCAGTGGTGAGAATCTTTGTCTTCTTGACATTGAGCCTCAATAGAATTGATAAACCCCTAGCCAAAGAAGTAAATCTAACTATACATGAAAGACATGAATTACTTATTATTAGCAAATGAGAAGTAGCATAGTATAGACTTTAAAAGACTTCTTATTACTACTATATTATATATGTTATTATCATATATGTTATTTTATATATATTATTATTTTATATATGTTGTTGTTATTATTATTATTATAATAGTTGGGCCCCCAACTCACACAATGGGACAAAATACTGCTTGGTGTTTTTGTTGTGAATCACACCATTATGATCCATCAGACAATAAGAAGTAGACTTCCAAAAAGACTTCTTCCTACTCCATTGTAGCCTAGAAGCTCTGATGAAATGTGTTTAGCATCCTTTCACAAGCCTCCTGTAACAAGACAGTGGAGGCTAATCTTATTAAGATGCACTGGCTGGGTATCAAATCCAGATCTCTTCCATAAAAGGTAAGAATTCTAATGGACATATTATGAGCAGCTTCACACCAACAGAATGGACAACTTAGATAAAATGCACAAATCTTTGAAAAATATAAGCTAAGCTCATTGCAGAATAAATAGGCATCAAGAATAGCCTTGTGTCTTGCAAATAAAATTCCAGTAACCTTTGAGGGGATGAGGAAGAAACAATGGTTGAGGTAGGGGATCACAGGAGGTCTGGCCCACCTTGCTGACCTCAGTAGTTGTTTTGACAGAGGCACCCCACACTCAGCCAGCGCTGCTTGGGAAAAGCAGAGTCATGATGAGGTGGCAGCTCTTGGCATTTCTCTAATGCATTAATCAAACACGTTCGGATTACACTGCTGGAATGAAGTGGGTGGGGAGTTCTGCTTTGCACCCACACCTTGACACACCTTTGGGAATTCATTTTCTGTTGAGCTTTTTTTCTGGTTCCTTTTCTTTTGTCGGTCAGTGGTGTTTGTGTGTGTGTGTGTGTGTGTGTGTGTGTGTGTGTGTGTGTGTGTGTGAATTCTTTTCTTCACTATGACCTTAGACAAATAAAAAATGAATTCTTAGCATCCACAGGGGATAAGTATTAAATGCAAGCATTCTAAAGCAAGGCTTGGCACACAGTAAGAGCTGTATAAACATTTCCTCCCATCTGAAGGCACTCGGGGCATCTCAGAGTTATGTTCCCAGCCCACACCTAGAAGTCCAATCACAAGAAGTTTTTTCCCTTACTTTTAATTTCTGTTAACCTAAAGACTTCTGTGCAGAGAAGCAGTGAATGGCTCTGAATGAATTTCATCATATCTAAGGAAAAGAGCAGTCGTCTCCATTTTGCCGCGTACACAGGCTCACACCCAAAAAAATTACTCAGCCCTTGTTTTTCTGCTTTTGGGGTTCTTCCAAAATATTTTCTTCAGTCCAACTCCAGTGAAATTTCTAGCTCCTAACTGATGCATCATTGACTGGTTTTGCTTGAGGTGAGTAGGGAAACAGTAAATAAGCAGACCCGTTTGGCTGAGGTCAGAACAAGAGAGAGGTGTGTCTGGGTGCACCCCAGGACTCAGCGGGGGGAGGGGGCGGACCGCAAGGGGGCGTTGTGAAACCACGGGTAACAGACTGCCCCTCCTCTGAGGGGAGGGACAGAGGCCCGGGGGCCTAGTTCTCCTGGAGACGCAGACCGACTGGGATCCCAGAACTTAGGTCTGGGCTGCTTCTTGGACTCTAGCAGGCTCTCTGTGCAAGTGCCCCGAGTGCCTCTCTCCCGGCGATGTCGTCCTGCAGCCGCGTGGCGCTAGTGACGGGAGCTAATAAGGGCATTGGCTTTGCCATTGCGCGGGAGCTGTGCCGCCAGTTCTCCGGGGACGTGGTGCTCACCGCACGGGATGCAGCACGGGGCCGAGAGGCCGTGCAGCAGCTGCAGGCGGAGGGCCTGAACCCGCGCTTCCACCAGCTGGACATCGACGACCTGCAGAGCATCCGCGCTCTGCGCGACTTCCTGCGCCGCGAGTATGGTGGACTAAACGTTTTGGTCAACAACGCGGGCATCGCCTTCAAATGTAAGTGTGGGGAGCCAGAGGTCCCTGGGGTGCTCTAAGAGTGCTGGGCAGGCGCTCCTAATTGCTTCCATGAGCAAGAGGGCAGCCACCACCACTCCGGATGTGCTCAGTCCTGGGCTCCCGAAGGCGAGTCTTCACCGTGTGGGGCTGCGCGGGTGGCTCGCTTTGCGAAGGCGGCTGCCCGCCGGGCACAGCGCGCCCCGCCTGTCCCCTGGCCTGTGCGAGCCTGTGCGCGGGCCCGACCTCCAGGAACTGTCAGCAGCCGCTGTTTGCCAGAAAGCGGACTCTGGGGAGGGGGCCCCGCCCTGCTAAGCTCATCAGCTTTCTGCACACTGCCTGAAACATTTTCTCAGTTCAGCATCTGTCTTCCAAACTCACTTTGAGCTTTCGTTTTCCTTGAAAGGGCGCATTCATGGAGGCTGGAGGCATCTACTCAGGGCAGGAAATGCAGAGCTATGGGTTGATTCGCGCGCTTGGCACCCTCGAGTGGACGTTAGCCGTTCCTTTACGGAGAGCTTTGATAGGCTCTGGGAAAAAGGAAGCGAGCCTCGTTCCCTCCTCCAGGGAGCTTATGTTTGTTATCCAACGTGCAAGTGCGGTTCTACATGGCATCTTCTTGGGGGCGGCAGGGGTGGGGTGGGAATCAACTGCTTATTCTGATTCACTCATTAACTCTTTGCCAGTCAAGTGTGAATCAACTCATAACTCGCTTTCCAGCGGGTTTTCAGAGGCTCTGAGTCACACGGGGGGAGATTACCCTTATTTCTGCGGAGAAATCTGGTGGATTCCAACCACGCACGAGAGACACGCTGCCTGGTTAGCAGCGCCACTCCCTACGGGCTACATACACCCTTCTTGTTGATTGCCGTTGAGTTGAGCACGACTCATAGCGACCCTGTGAACAAAAGCCCTTCTATAACTATCGTTGTTTCTCCAAGTTCATAGAGTTTCCAGAGGCATGTTGTTTAGGAAGTGGATTATCCTAATTGGTTTTTCAGAGAATTTTCAGAGGCAGTAAATCGGACAGGAGGAGTTTGCCCATCTTTCACCCGCAGAGCAGCTGTGGACTGGAACTGCTTGCCTTTGGGTTAGCAGTGCATCTCCTTACCTCTAAGCCACCAGAACTCCCTAGTAGTATTCTAATTAGTACTTATATAGGAAAGCTTGTTGAGATACCATATGCTACTGGGTGCAAAGACATAAACAGGCCAGCTTAATTTATAACGACGTGTGCCCACTCAAAGAGGCATAATAGAGTAAAAGGAACCATTCTGGGGAGGAAGTGGCGGTTCCTTGGGCTCTGGGCACTCACCATCTCTGATCACTCACACCGGTAGTACTTATCAACCGGGTTTCTAAAATCTCATCCTGGAGCTGAGGGGAGGAGGAAAGGGATCACCGGAACTGGCGGTTAAACTCCCTGCTTTCTAAACTTAAGGTGCGAGTGCCGGTATGAGCTCAGAGCCCTTGCCCCTGGAAACCTATACAGACTCTCTGGAACTTACCCTTCACTTGCTGAATGCAATCTGCATTTTAACAAGACCCACAAGATGCATAACGAGTTTAATAAATAGCAGTCCAAGCCAGGAGTTCTCAGGGTGGGACTCACAGATCAGTGGCTACAGCATCACTTAGGTTCCTGTTAGAAATTCCCAGACCCCAACCTAAACCTACCAGCTACAGTGGAGTTGATTCTTATTCACACTGACCCCCTAAGTGGAACTGTGCTTTGTAAGAAATTGCACTGCCAGCCCAAAGGTGGCGCCTCTCCAGCGGTTCGAATTCACCGGTGGCTCCGCAGGAGGAAAGATGGGCAGTCTCCTCCCGAGAGATGCCCCGCGTAGGAAAACCTCTGAAGGATCAGCTATAAGTGGGTTCGGACTAGACTGCTATGAGCGAATGAAAAAAATCTCGACTAGCGTCAGCAGAACGGCTACAAAGCACAGGAAGAGATTGCCCGTCTTCCTCTCGCAGAACCACTGGAGCGGGAATTAGCCGCCACAGAGACGCCGCCTTTAGGTTAGAAGCGCAACTCCCTATAGGCTGGGCTAACAGAGCTGTCTACTGAGCAAAAGAGTGACGTTCTGATGAACAAATTGCCAGACCTTTCTTCTGAAGTACCCCTGGGTTGACTCAGATTTCCAAATTCTCTGTTTGCAGCATCTGAGCACAGTCCTTGATGTCACCACCTAGTTCTCCCACCATCCCCAGACGTGCTGAATCAGAAACTGGTATCTCTGATACGCAATTTAGTGACACTTTAGAGGCACCTCCTGGTGTCTCTAGATTTGCACTAAAGTTTGAGAACTGCTGATCATGTGGTTTAAACATTGTTGTAAAATCAAGCTTGTTTATATTTTATCAATTTTTTAAATTAATTTTCTTAATTTTAATGAACGTTTAGAGCGACTTAGTTTCCAGTCATTCATTGTTGCACTTTTCTCCCTGACCACCCCCTCCCCCAATTCACTTTTCTCCTTGATGAGTAAAAAAACTCTTTCACTATTGTGCAATACCTCCCCCCAAGCCCACTACACTGTAGAGCCTTCAAAACTCCTGTCATCAACAATAATACCTAATCATATATCCCTTTTTTAAATTTTTTATTACTATTAATTTTAATGAAAGTTTACAGAGACTAAGAATTTCCATTCATTCATTGTTGCACTTTTCTCCCGGCTCACCACTCCCTCCCCCCAATTCGCTCTTCTCTTTGAAAAGTAAAAGAAAAATTCTTTCATTGTTAAACAATTTCTCCCCCCAAGTCCACTCCACTATGCAGCCTTCATTCTGGACTCCTGTCATGACAAAAATAACCAGTCATATATCTCTTTTAAATAGCTCTCTCCCTCATCTGTTGCAATGCAGTATACATCATTTCTCCCCTTCTTCTCTGCCTTCCCTCAACCTCAGTGTCAGTCCTGTTTTACAATAATGACCCTATGCAATATTTGTCCTTTTGTAACTGAGATATTTCACTCAGCATAATGTCCTCTACGGTCATACACTTAGCCTAGTATTTCATGAGTTCCTTGTTTTTCAGTGTGGCATAGTATTCCGTTGTGTGAATATACCACAGCTTCGCTATCCATTCGTTTGTTGATGGGCACTTGGGGTTGTTTCCAGCTCTTTGCTATTGTGAACAAAGCCGCAACAAACACAGGTGTGCATATATCTGTTTGGGTGGCAGTTATGGTTTCTTTAGGGTAAATTCCCAGTAGTGGAATTGCTGGGTCAAATGGTATTTCTATTTGCAACCTTTTGAGAAGCGACATACAGCCTTCAATAGTGGTTGCACCATTTTACACTCCCACCAACAGTGAATAAGGGTTCCAGTTTCTCCACCACCTTGTCATCATTTGTTGTTTACTGTTCTGTTATATTTTGCTATTCTGACTGAGGTGAGATGATATCTCATAGTTGTTTTGATTTGCGTTTCTCTTAGAGCTAGGGATTTTGAACATTTCTTCATGTGTTTGTTGGCCATTTGAATGTCTTCTCTGGTGAAGTGTCTGTTCATATCCTGTGCCCATTTTTCAATTGGGTTATTTTCCTTTATCTTTTGGGGTGCTTGAATATTTATAAATTCTAGATATAAGTCCCTTGTCTGACATGTCATTACCAAATATTTTTTTCCCCATCTGTGGCTTCTCTTTTTACCTTGTTGGGGAAGTTTTTGGATGTGCACAAGGATTTGAGTCTTAGAAGATCCTGTTCATCTATTTTATCCTCTCCTAGTTGTAGATTCTTTTATCAATTTTTATAACATAAGATCCACCAGTGGCTCCGCAGAAGAAGGATGGGCAATCTCTTCCTGGGCGATTAAATGCCTCTGAAAAGCTGCTGGAGGATGAGCGATGGTTCGGTTTTGACTCAATGGCGTTCAACCACCGGATCCAGGGGGTGGGGATGGGATGTCTAGTGGCCTAACAGGTAGGGAGTTGTGCTGCTAATCCTAAGGCGACACCTCTCCGGCAGTGGGAGGCAGGAGCTCCTCTGGAGAAATATAGTTGATCCTCTAGTGCTATTTACAGCCTCTGAAAACCTACAGAAGGGTCAGCTATGAGTCAATTCTGATTCCATGGGAGTGAGTGAGTGAAAGTGATCATATAAATTTCAGGATAAATATATGACTTTCTCTTTGTTTCCTTTTCTTTGTGAAAGTTGATGACCCAACACCCTTTGACATTCAAGCGGAGATGACACTGAAGACAAACTTTTTCGCCACCAGAAATGTCTGCACTGAGTTACTGCCGATAATTAAGCCTCATGGTAAGTCCTGGGAGCCAAATGTACGGATTATCCAACTGCATTAGCAAAGAGTGATGCACAGAGACTACCAGAGTGGGGGTGCCCCTCAGGAATCACCCAGGGGTGCTGTTTCTCTTTAGGGGAAAAACATTCTTTTCGTTTTAAAAGAGATGCTATCCATGCTCCTGGGATCCGTGTTACAAACTCAACGCTGGAATGATGGTGGTTGTTGCTGTGGAATGAGCACCTCCTTGTGACCTCATGTACAACAGACCGAGACACGGGCCAGTCCTGTGTCATCATCACGACCCCTTGCCGGAGTTTGTGGCGGCTGCCACTGGGTATTTTGTGAATGTCTTCCCATGTAAGGTACTCATCTTTCAGTACTATAAACTCAACACTCATTGCCATCAAGTCATAACCCACCCTTAGCTCAGTTTCCAAGACTGTACATAGCTCTGCTGGTGCCAAGAGTGTTGACCGTGGAGCCGAGCAAACTGAAGCTGTGAACAATCTCAATCTCTTCACCATCCATCCTGATGCTACCAATTGGTCCAGTGGTGAGAATCTTTGTCTTCTTGATATTGAGCCTCAGTCCATACTGAAGGCTGCAGTGCTTGACCCTCTGCAGCAAGTGCGTGAGGTCCTCCTCAATTTTAGCAAGCAGGGTTGTGTCATCTGCATAACGCAGATTGTTAATAGATCTTCCACCAACCCTGACGCCACACTTCTCCTCATAGAGCCCAGCCTCTCGAATAATCTGCTCTGCATACAGGTTGAAAAGGTATAGGGACAGGACAAATCCCTGGCGTACACCCTTCCCAATTTTGAACCGTGCAGTGTTACCTGGTCTGTTCTGATGACTGCCTCTTGGTCCAAGTATAGGTTTCGCATTAGCACGATCAAATGTTCTGGGATTCCCATTCTTCTCAGAGTCACCCACAGTTCATTATGATCCATAAAGTCAAACGCCTTTGCATAATCAATGAAACACAGATAGACATTCTTCTGCCTCTGCTTTCAGCTAAGATCCATCTAACATCAGCTACAATATCCCTAGTACCACAACCCCTTCTAAACCCAGCCTGGACTTCTGGCAGTTCTCTGCTGATGTGCTGTTCCACATTTTGGGACAATCTTCAGTAGAATCTTGCTTGCATGTGAAATCAATGATATTGTTCTGTAGTTTCCACACTCAGTTGGGTCACCGTTTTTTAGAATGGGAACAAATATAGATCCCTTCTAGTCAGTTGGCCAAGTGGTTGTTCTCCAGATTTCTTGGCACAACTTGGTGAGCACATTCAGGGTAGCATCTGCTAGCTGAAATATGTCAATTGGTATACCATCTATTCCTGGGGCCTTATTTTTTGCTATTTCCTTCAAAGCAGCTTGAACTTCTTCCTTCATCACCACAGGCTCTTGCTCAAATGTTATTTCATTAAATTCTTCTATATCTGCCAATTCCTTTCGATACAATGACTCAGTATATTCCTTTCATCTTCTTTTAATACCTCCTGGATCATTTAATATTCTGCCTAAAGCATCCTTGATTATAGTAACTGGAGGTTTGAATTTGTTCTTCAGTTCCTTGAGCTTAAGAAATGCTGAACGAGGTGGTGAAACAGGGGATTAAAATTCCCAAAAGGCCTCTCACCTCTGCTCAAGCTCATCAAGTCTTTCTCCAAAGTGATAGGACCAGAGCTGACCCTTCTAGGGATATAAAGATAATATTCTGAGATTATCTCTTTTTTTTTTTCTTGCACCAAATTTGATCAAGCTCATTCAGGGAAAAAAATGAGCAATGTTTTAGTAGGATAAATATTGATTATTAATTTTTCAATAAATATCCATTGAGTGCCTACCAAAATTCAGGCACTATGCTGGGTGTCAGGAACACAATGGTAACTAGCACTGGGGCAGTCCCCTCCTAGGGTAAAGTCTAGTCGGGAAGAACGCTACTCACCAGCTTCATACATATGAACTCATAGTTGTGCTGGGAGGTCAAGGGAGAGAGATGGGTAACTTCCCTGAGGCTTCTTTTCCAAGAAGTCAGCTGTGGTTCTTAGAAGGAAGTCTATACTTATTATTAGACAAACCACGGGTATTCCAAATACTATCAGGGTTGCCCATGGTGGACAGGTTTCAACAGAGCTTCTGGACAAAGATGTTTATCATAATCGTATTCATTGACACAGAATCAGTTTTGACTCATCTCTGACCTCAGGGAATTCTTACTGTTAGTCTCTTAGTAAGACAGGATAAGAGAAATCCCAGAGGCAGAGCTGCAAAGATTTCTACTGTTATAGAAAACCTTGAGGCCTTTCTGTAAGTAGCAAAGTTCTTAAAAACAGTGCTACCAGGGCCAATTACATATTGCACTACTAACTAAAAGGACAGTGGTTCAAATCCACAGGCTGCTCCTCAGGAGCAAAAATGGACAGTCTCCTCCTGTAAAGATTTATAGCCTCAGAAATCTAATAGGGAGCTCCGGTGGCCTAGTGGCAAGAAGTTGTGCTGTAATCCCGCTGAAGGCACATGATTTGAATACTCCAGCTGCTCTTCGGGATAAGGATAGGCAATCTCCTCCCTTGCAATTAACCACCTCTGAACACCCGTGGAGGGCCAGCTATGAGTGGGTTCTGACTTCATGGTACCCACAACAACAACAACATGGGTAGACATTGGCTCGAGGGCAAAGAATTTGGTTTGAATATTCATAACCTAGAGTCTGCTTCTAACAAATATCAGAGAATCTTCTCCCTGATACATTTCTGAATCATTATATTTGAGAGCTATAAAGTACTAAAGAAGTCTTGTGTTCTTATACCATCCCTTTACAGAAAGGGAAACTGAGTCCTAGAGACATGAACAACAACTTTCAACCCAACCTATTGCTCCTTTCTGGTTCCAACTCATAGTGACTCTACAGGCTGTTGTTGTAGTTGTTGTTATATCCACAGAATCTCCCACAACGCATAGCAAAGCTATGTACAACAGCTTTGAAGCCTGCCCTACCCTGAGCCAGTCTCACTGACTCTGAAACACCTAACCTCATTGCCCTAATTATGATGTCAATTCATCTCATCTAGGGTCTTCCTTTCCTGCTCTGTCCCTCCACCCTTCCAAGTATGATATCCTTCCTTCTCCAAGGACTGGTCCCAAATGGCCACGTGCTAAAAGTCCATGGGACAGAGCTTTAAAATTCTTGCCTCCAACGAGAAATTTGGTGACACTCTCTCCAAGACAGACCTATTTGTTCTCCTTGTGGTGGTGGTTCATGGTATGTTCAATACTTTTCTCCAGCACCACAACTCAAAGGTGTCAATTTTCCTTCTGTCATCCTTAGTCATTGTCCAGCTCTCTGACGCATAGCAACTGATTAGGAAAATCATGGCCTGGATCAAACTCACCTTAGTCTCTAGAATGGCATCACTGTTCTTTAGCACTTTGGCGAGGTCTCTGACCTCAAACTTCTCCAACCTAATTCATCTTTTGATTTCCTGATTGCTGGTGCCAAGAGTGTTTTTTGTGGAGCTGAGCAAGTTGAAGCTGTTAACAGCCTCTCTTTTCTCCATGCATCATGGTGCTGCCAATCAACCCAGTGGTGAAAATCTTTGTCTTCTTGATGTTGAATTTTATTCCATATTAAGACTTCAGTCCTTGACCTTCCACAGCAAATGCTTCAGGTCCTCCTCAGTTTCAGGAAGAAAGGTTGTCGTTTGCAAAATGCAACTTGTTGATGAGTCTTCCTCCAATCCTGATGCCACACTCCTCCTCATAAAGTCCAGCTTCCTGAATGATCTGTTCCATGTACAGATTAAAAAGGTATGGGGACAAGACACATCCCTGATGCACTCCTTTTCTGATTTTGAACCATACAGTGTGCGCTTGCTCTGTTCTGATGCCTGCCTCCTATTCCACCAAGTCTCGATTTCACATAAGCACTGTTCACATGTTCAACTCTTCTGGGATTCCCATTCTTCTCAAGGTTAGCTACAATTTGTTGTGATCTACACAGTCAAATGCCTTTGCATAGTCAATGAAACACAGCTAGACATCCCACTGGTACTCTTTGCTTTCAGCTAAGATCCATCTGATATTGACAAAAATGTCTCTAGAGCCACGGTCTCTTCTAAGCCTAGCTTGTATTTCTGGTAGTTCTCTATCACTGTACTTCTTCAGCGTTTTTGGATAATCTTCGACAGGATTTTTCTCGCATATGATATTAGTGATATTGTCTGATCATATTTTTTGAGGATAGGAATAAATATGTATCTTTTTGAGGCTAGGAATAAATATGTATCTCTTTGAGTCAGTTTGCCAGGTAGTTTTCCTCCAGATTTCTGGTGAGCACATCCAGGGCATCATCTGTTTGTTGAAAAAGTCAGCTAGTATTCCCTCAATTCCTGGGGTCTTGTTTTTTGCCAGTTCCTTCAGAGCAGCTTGAATTTCCTCTTTTGTCACCGTTACCTCTTCATCATATGTTGTTTCATGAAATTCTTCTGTGTCAGCTAATTCTTTTGGTACAGTGACTCTGTGTATTTCTTCCATCTTCTTTTAATGCTTCCAGGATTATTTAATATTCTGCCCATAACATCCTTAAGTATTACAACTTGAGGCTTGAATTTGTTCTTCAGCTCCTTCACTTTAAGAAATGCCAAGCAAGTTCGTCCCTTTTGATTTTCTGAGTCCAGCTCTTTGAACATTTCATTATAATTTTGCTTTTTCTTCCTGCACTGTCCTTTGAAATCTTCTGTTCAGCTCCTTAACTTCTTTATTTCTTCCCTTTGCTTTAGTTTTTCAGAGCTCTAGTGCAATATTATTTAGAGTTTCTTCTGATATCCATCTCTGTCTTTTCTTCCTCCTCTTTGTAATCACCTTTTGCATTCTTCCTGGATGATACCTTTGACATCCTCCCACAGATCATCTGGTCTCGTTCATTAGTGTTCAAGGCCTCAAACCTTTTTTTCAGTTGGTTTTGAAATTCAAGTGGGATATACTCAAGGTCAAATTTTGGTTCC